ATATGCAGTATTGCCGGTATTTCAATAACAAAACTATATTAAGATAAATAATTATATCGTAATAAATAAATGCATACATTTTGAGAAAATTTGATATTAATTTTTGGATTAGATAGAGAAATGATCCAGATAAATATGTTCTGGAAAAACATTGCTATAGTATTCTGATAATATACGGTCTGGATAAATATATAGCTAAATAACACATTCTAGGTACATACAATTTAGATTCCAGCAACATTTATTAAGTCTCGTTAAATATTTTCCACTAAATTATATTCCAAAATTGTAAGACTTTCGCTTATTATTACCATTACTCTTCCCCCCTTCATGATTACATGATACAATAGACGCATTTAATACTAAAAAATAAATAAATAATATTGTACCATTTGAATTATAAATATGATGTTTGTATGTATTTATGTAGGACATCGTGAGGCATAATGGCCTTGGAGGTTTGTTTCGTGGACTGGAAATGACAGTGGCTCGGGAGATGCCCAGCTATTTTTGCTTCTTCGGAGTGTATGAGACGGTCCGGGAGGCACTGAAACCTGCCGGTCGAACTCGTGCCGACTGTGGGCTRCTGGCAACCACGGTGGCCGGGGCTGCTGGTGGTGTGCTGCTATGGACTGTCACATTCCCGGTAGACGTAGTCAAGTCTCGAATACAAYTGGATGATGCGATGCCCACACGTGGCTGGACCATGTGCATGTTGCACGTATATCGAAACGAGGGCGTGGTCGCACTGTACAGYGGACTGGCACCAACGCTCATCAGATGCATTCCATCGTCAGCCGTACTGTTCCTCGTCTACGAGTACACCAAAAAGCTGTTCGAYACCTAGATGAGGAGGGATGGATGACATCGAAGAACTCCAGAACGCCTCACAGAACGCACATAAAGTTGAGAATGGATTCTCGAACTCTCTCGTACATCCCAAACTTCCAAGAATTTGAAAAGTTCGAAATTCGATTAAAAATAATAATCGAAATCAAATACTTAAAATTTAAACATTTCAAACAAGTTTGATATCGATATTACTCTAAATTTACGTATAAATATTATAATAACAACCATTTTTTACGCATTCAATTGTGTGCTAAGGATGTTAATAATTAATATTATATATTTTTAACAAATATTGTAAATTTATTGTTTAAAATTAAAATGGACTCGTGAATAAAATTTAAAAGTCGAAAGTTCAAATGTTTGATAAATTTGAAAAAATTAGGTAAATATTCTGTTTCCAGTTCATACAAATTGAAGATCAACCCGTATTTAATTATAATACCTAATACTAATATTACTATACTTGAAACGTTGAGTAGTATACATGAGTGATCTTATATTGTATTGGCAGATGCGATCATAATATATTCATGCAGCTATTATTTTCAACAAATGATTGATTTTCAAGATTTTTGACACCTTTTTGATATACCGTTTTATTTCTCAGAGAAACAGCATAAAAAATTACGGCATCCTTGTCTTTGTATAGTTATGTACCCCCGTAAATACGGCGTGAATATTCATAGATATTATAGATATAATAATGCTACGTATGAATATATTTATGTTTTATTTTTTTTTTTTTACATTTTTAGCTATCTAAGATTAAACTCATATTTATTATTATTTTATAACTAATGACCAGTCAGAGATAGTAGGTATCTAATATTCATTCTTGGCATTATAAAAAATAGACTGACGTTAATTTTTAGATTTTTTATGACTGCAATTTAAAATGCATGTAAATTTCTTCTAATCACATCTGTAGTTTTTTATTAAATGCATGTGTTTTTTTAAATAAAATAGTATCATTTTTAAATTATCATTAATGAATTATTGTTGCCAGTCGGTGTTGACATAAAGATAATAAATGGTTTTAAATTTTTATTACCTATTATACCAATATTATTTATTTTTTTATACTATAAATATAATATTATATTATATTTAAATTATATTATCATGGTTTTATACAAATTTTATATTAGATAGGTTTATACAATTTTTGATTAAAATTGTATTTATTTTTTTAAACATTTTAAAGAGATAATTTTAAACTTTCCAATATACCTACATATTGTTTTAGAAGATTCAGTTTTACAACTAATATAATCTAAGATCAAATTTTATAATAGGGTCTTTTTTA